AAGTCGATCACCCGAACAGCCCTGCATCTATTAGAGAATTGAACTTTTAGTTAAAAACCTTCTCACAAGGAAAATTGAAATGAGTATGTATAGTGAAATAAATAGTTTGCTGGGCTTATGTTTTTAAAAACTCAACAACAAGAAAACAACTCGATTGGAAAAAAAATGACCAAACCACTTGAACGGACGCCTTGCTGAAGATTTCTGGGTGGCAATTACGTGAGCACATGAGAAGATGCTCCTTGTCGTTGGTTGGTAGGAAAATGCAAACTAACACCAGCAGGAGACACCACCGAGCACCTACTGAAATGGCTAAAGTTAAAGACACTGACCGTGGGACTGGAGTGTGGGAGACCACCCGGGGTGACCGGACTTCCTGCCGCTCCTGACCGCCACGTGAACTGGTGCAACCCTTGTGGAAAGCGGTGGACGGTCTCTTGATGCTGTTTCCCGGGGGAGACGAAGGTGTGTGTCCACACGTGTTCACAGCAGCTTCGCCGGCAGCAGCCGGAAACTGGAGACCACCCAAATGTCCATCGAAGGACAAGCGAACTGGGGTCTGTCTGCCCACGCGGCGGACAGCACTCAGCAGCGCAGCGCACCAACCCCCACGGCTGGGTCTCCAACTAATTGCGGTGCTCATCGAGGGGGGCGGGGAAGAGGGAACTCGGGGTGATGGATGTGCTCACTGTCTCGAGTGGGGTGACGGTGTCACGGGTATATGCGAATTATGTCCAAACTTGTAAAATTGTGTCCTGCAAACGAGCACAGTTCGTTATATGTCAGTTACACCTCAACAAAATCGTTACAACCCTCAAGTGGTCTTCGGACCCCTGGCTCCCGGGAGGGCCCTGCTCGGAGGCCGGGGGCCATGTGGGGGCAGGCGCGGCCGCAGGGAGAGGCCACGCGTAGCGCTCTGGCCCACAGTCCCGGGCAGCTCCCAGCCAGCAGCCAGCCTCCCTTCGGCCCCTTCGCTGGAGCTGCGGGCTGGCTCTGTCACCTCAGGCCCAGGTCCAGCAGCTGAGCCCCTCGACGGGAATGACCAGCGTGCGGAGGGGCAGGGGGTTTAGGGGGCAGGGCTCTGCTCCTGGGCCGTCGACGTCTGGACACAAGCTGTGGGCCCTCGAGTCTGGAGGACCCTGGCCAGCTCCACCAGCTACCCAGCGGCACCCACGCTGGGCACCACCCTGGGGTTGCTCATGGGGCAACGTCACCCGGGATCACACACAGGGGCAGCATCATCCCCCCCCCCACCCCGGGGTTGTGCTCGGGGCAGCACCACCCGGGGGTCGCACATGGGGCAGCGACACCCCAGGGAGCCGGCACGCTGAGCTTTGGGCCGGAGCATGGCCAGGGCCGGGCGGCAGGCCCACCGGGAGGGCTGTTCCTTACGCTGGGATCCAAACTGCACTGGGGCTGGGGTGGGGGTCGGGGTGGGGGTGGCAGGGACCGCGTGTGGGTAGCTGTCTCCCGAAACCCCAGAGGAGCCGGGGGCACGGAACGATGCTGGAGCAGGGCAGGTCCAGGTGTGAAGGGGAGGCGGGGGCACAGAGTGACTATGCAGTGGGGTGGGCCAGAAACAGGAAGGAAAGAAAGTCGGGGAGACATACACATGCGCGCACGAGCACACGCACGCGCGCGTGCATGCAGGCGGGAGGGAGGGACGGAGGAGAGGAAAGGAAAGAAAAAATGTCCCAGCCGGCGAGGGCCGACCAACTGCCCCGCGGGGAAAAGCGACCGAGTCGGAAGCACAGGGAATCAGGGCGGCCTCTGCCTTAGCCATTTGCTCTCACACAGGTAGCACAGGCCACCGAGGGGAGGACACTGAGGGCACAAAGCAGGGCGACCTGGTCCTCGAAGGGCCAGGAAACAGACTAAAAACAGCAGGGCTGACCCCAGGTGGCCACGAACCAGCGACGGGAGGTTGCGTGTCACGCTGCGGAGGGGGACCGGGCAGCTGGAGCGGACGCAGGCGTGGAGCAAAGACCGCCCAGGAGGAGGAGCCTGGGCAGGGGCCCCTTCCACTGGGATGAGACTCGCCCTCCTTGGTGTAGCAGAGGCAAAGGTGGGGACATGGGAGTTGACTGGTGTGCGGGCCCCAGGGAACACCTGCTCCCGGAGAAAGTTACCAGACCACCGACCTGTGGCAAAGCCTGCTGTTAGGAAATTCAGGGTTAAGAGGCCATTGAGGTCCTGGACTTGAACTCCCACCCAGCCCTTCTGGAAAAATCTTAAGAGGCCATTGAGGTCCTGGACTTGAACTCCCACCCAGCCCTTCTGCAAAAATCTTCCCAGCGGTGACACAGGCAGGCAGGAAGTTCCCGGAGGGCCCAGGAGAGGGGACAGGACACAAGAAGGCAGAGGGGGGCAGAGGGATCGAAGGCCTGGGGAATGGGCTCCAACCGGTTCCTCCCAGGAGGGGGCAGGCGGCCTAGAGTGTCCCGCAGCCGGCGATGGCCCCAGGGACGTTGGCCTGCGTCAGGACCGAGCTCGGGAGGGGACTGTGGACCAAGAAGCTTTACAAGCTGGACAGGGCCAAACCTTTGTGCAGAGAAGACGCCAAAGGCAGCGTCGAGACCTTGACCTTGCGGAGCCTGCCGAGCGGCCGCGAGGGCGGGCGGGCGGCGCCAGCCTCCCCGCCG